TTATTTTCCTTACAATGGTCCACATTACAGTTCACAGTTTCCACTGCTCCTGCGCCGCAGCAGCTGAACATCATCAGCAGTCATGGCGAAGAGCTGAACTGCTTGAGCTGTGTGCTGCCTGAGGACCTGCTGGTGGACATCCTCTGTGAGAGGCTGAAGGTGTGTGGGGTGGGGGGAAAGGAGACATTCCTGCTCCAGAGAGACAGGCACTGAGGTACAACTCGGAGAGGAGGAGGAGGAGGTGGTCTGTACCTGCTGCTGGAGGATCCTGGACTGTGTGCAGGGAACCCTGGGGGAAACTGCAGATGCCCGTTGTTGGCAGAGCCTAAGGACAGATCCAAGCTGCTCTTAGCTAATGCACTTGGAACAAGGGCAGCTGGTGCCTTGTGACATCTGGGTTTACTGTCCAGCTGCGAGCCCCCTGCGTGCAACGACTGACTTACTCTTCCCTTTATTTGCAGAGTAATGACTGCTACAAGGGAGTGGTTTTTGATGGCTTGGAGAGCCTCTTCACAAGCAGCCTGGAATCTTCCCTGCTCTGTGTACTCAAAGCTGTCAAGAATCGTCGTCATATCTTCATGGTGAACCTGCATCATGATTATGCTTCTTGCAAAGCCCAGGAAGAAGCTAAAAGAAAGAGGGAGGAAGCTAAAAGAGAGGAGGAAGGTGAGATACCTCCGTTCCTCTCAAATCTCTCTCAAGCCCTCAGCCTTATCTCTGTGTATCTGGGTTTCCAGCAGAGCTTGTAAGAAATGTTTCTATTAATCTTTCCACCTTCTGGCTCAGTGGAATCAGCACTCATCTTAAGAGTTGCAGGAGATCAGAAGTTTTACGACTCATCCTAATCTGTAACATTAAAGCCTGGGCACAAGTGCAAGCTGCTGTAGTTCAGTGACAAACGACTGTCCCCAGCCTTGGTGCAATTAAGCCAGGCAAAGCACAGGAACTTACTGCCTGGCCATAGTTTGGGGGATTGTCTGAATTTTGGAGCAGGGATATGAGCTCCTCAACATCTCCTGGTATGATAGGCTGAGTTGGGAAAAGCTGTGAATCCTTGCAGCTGACCCAGAGCACCCAGCTCTGCTTGCAGTCACTCATGGTTTCTCCTCTGGTTTGTGCTAAAGAACTGCGGCGGGAAAAAGCTTTACAGAGGAAGATAGAACATATCTTGAAAATGGATGAGGATGAATATGATGCTCTCCCTAAGAAGAAGAAAGCACTAGTGGGTAAAATACTGGAAAGGATACTTATACGGAAGGACAGGTGAGTAAGCCTTCCATGGGTTACTGCTCAGGGTAGTGTCTCTGTAGTGTAGGTAGTAGGTAGGTAGTGTCTCTGGAGGGTTTCCTTGCTCCAAGGACCCTGAACTCCGAGGTGTTTGATAGCAAAGGCCAAAAGCAACACAGAGATGGCCACTCTTAGCTCCCTGGCTTCCAAGAGAGGAGGGACCATCTTCTGTTGAGACAGAACATCTTCTTCTCTATTCTAGTGAGCCCTCCTGGCTTGGATGCTGCCTGCAGGGAGCTGGGCTCTGGGCTTGCCTTGGCACTGCCTGTAGAAGTGTCTTTAAGTCCATGATGTTGATTTGCACCTTCTTCATCATCTCCCTTCTTCACCAAAACAGTGGGATTGTGGTGTGGGCAGGTGTGGGCCACAGACAAACCCTTGAGTTGGGTCCTGGTCCTGCCACAGATGAATGCAATGCTGATCTGCCAGGGTTCTCCTTATGGTGGGACACCACCCATAAAATCCCATGTCCTTTAGGCTCCCCTTCAGCTGCAGCAGTAGGCAAGCACAGGAGAAGCTCTGATCAGCAAGGCAGCCCAGCTCAGGACACACAGGAAAAGTGTGGAGCTGGGAGGGGAGGCTGCTTAAAGTAAGCCTGTGTATCAGGACTTCTTTCAGCCCAGGCTGAAGTTGGTTTCACGGGGAGGAGATGGACAAGGCTGCTTCAAATTGCTTCCATGGCAGAGAGCACTAGTCTGTCTTGGTTCCAGCAGGAAATGTGGCTGACAAGAGCCTGTCTTGCAGGAGACGAGTTCCTGCAGCCTTTGCTTTCTGACTGATTGGATTATTCGCATTAAGGAGCAGGCTATGCCCAGGGAGAAGGGGGCTGAATGAGCTGAGTGAGAATTGTAGGAGGCATCAACAGATGTTAGCTGCTTATGTGATCTGGTTTAAACTGGGAAATCAAGAGAGGAAGGGCGTTTCCAGGCATCAGTGCTCAGCTGGGGGGATCAGCCTTTAGCAGTGGAGGTGTCTGGGTGTGCCTTAAGAGGGAGGCTGCACAGTTGAGACCTTATGATGGCAAGGCTTAGGTTTGGCTGCTCCTGGAGGTCCCCTTCTACAATTCTCCTCACTTGGATGTCCCCAACCTCTGTGGATAGAGGAAAATTCACAGAAATGGTCTCGTGGTTCTGCCTGGCCTCATGGTCAAGGATTAAGGTGCATGGCCAGCCAGGACTAGTGAGCCCAGGTTTCTGGTGGTGACTCTCACTGATGTTTTCTGTTTTGTTTACCAAAGGGAGCGGAAGCAGCTGGCTAAAAAGCTTGAGGAGGAGGCAAAAGCCTTAGAGGAGGAAGAGAGGCGGAAGGAAGAAGAGCGGCAGAGGGAGGAAGAGAGGCTGAAAGAGGAAGAGAAACGGAAGAAGGAAAAGAAGGGTGTCTCCATGGGGAAGCAGCCTGCAAAACCAGAGAAGGGGAAAACCAAAATCCCAGAGGAGGGAGAAACTAAAGCCCCAGAGAAGGCAGAAACCAAAGCCCCAAAGAAGGGGGAAAGCAAAACCCCTGAGAAGGAAGACAAAGCTCCAGAGAAGGGAGAAACCAAAGCCCCAGAGCAGGGGGAAACCAAAATCCCAGCGGACCCAGCTGAGATGGAGAAGAACTTGATCCAGAGGTTTGAGATCTATGAGTCATCACAGCAGAATGTTATGCAGGTTTTCTCCTACTGGAACAGGGTTCAGGGTACTGTGCAGTTACCTGTGATTCAAAAGGGAAACAAGTCCCAGCCTTCATCTGAAATCAAAGGTCAGAAGAGCAGTAAGCCTCAGGAGAAGGTGGAGAAGAAGCCTGAACAAAAACAGGGAGACCAAAGGAGTCTTCAGTCATCTCATCTGGAGACACCAAGCAAAGTTACAGAAGAGGCAGTCAGAGACAAGCATGTCGGGGTGCCATGCCTGGACATCCAGGTCACAAATCCAAAGGCCATGATTAGGGAGATCCTGAGGAAAGGGAGGCTGCCAACAGAAGACCAGGTAAAAACCCCTGCAAGGCTCAGATCTTGAGCTTGCTGTGACTTTGGACCCTTTGTGTCCTCCCAGGTGAAAATGGCACAGAGCCTTGATGGTCCAGGCCCTTGATGATGTTCCACAGTGACTCTGTAGCATCTGTGTGGATGGGGAGGTTATCACCATCCCTCAGATGGGCAGAAAGTGGGAGAGCTCTGTGTACAAGTATCCCATCTGTTCAGAGTCTCCCAGCCTGGAGATTGTTATGAACAGTCCCAGGACAGGGCAGCTCATGGTCATTGTTTTCTTCAGCTGAGTCACTCGGGAGTACTCTCCCAGTACCGCTTGTAGCTCTTGCCTCTGCTTTTCAGGCTGCTCACTCCACTGGGCATAACAAAGCACTTGTACTTCATATAAATCAAAAACCCCATTGCCTAAAGCTCAGTGTCTCTAAAGGAGTTGTGAGGATGAAGGTGACAGAAGTATAAACAGGATTTTCTCTTCTGTTTTAGATGCTGAAATATTTGGGACTGCATCCCAAAGGGCCTCGCCTTCCCCCTGCTGCTGTCCTCTCCATAGTCGACTACCCAGAGGAGCGGCTGGGCTCTGCAGAGCTTGTGAAGCCCTTCACCATTGCTGCACCAGAAGACAATCTGGTGGGTACTGCAGGGTGCTGGCACTGAAGGTGCCAGGGCAGGGACCAGGCTAGATGGGGGCATGGGGGACAGGTTGGATGGAAAAGGATCATTGTGGAGAGGTAATGAAGATGTGATGGGGCCCCGTGTCTGCAGGTCTCCTTTCTGTCAGGGATGTGACAATATGGACAGCTCTGCTGGGGACAGAGCAGTTCTGTAAGACAAGAGGGAAAAAAATCACTTTAAACCATCAACTTCCTTTGAGGAGAGGATCCTGAGTGAGAAGGGTTGTCCTAGGTAAAACAAACACCAATAAGGAAGACCAAGTTCATGGGAGGTGGACTCATTTATTTATTCTCTCTTCCAGTCGTGAACAAACCCCCATTTTGCTTTCCAGGAAGGTGATGTCTCAGGGCTCACCTCTCCCTCCCCTTTCTCTCTCCCCTTAGGCCGAGGCCCCAGATGAGAAGGGCAGTTCTGCTGAGGGCCAGCCAAAGAAGGGTAAAGCAGCCAGCAGTGACAAGTCTACAAAGAAGAACCAGGTCTCTACAGAGAGAACAGAAAGTCCCCGGGATTCCTCCACAACAAGATTGAAAAGTGCGCTGAAAAGTGCCTCAATCCCCACAGAATTCCTCAGGTGAGCTGCATGGGAGGAGGTGATGCCTCTGCTTCTTGGTCCTCTTGCCAAACAAGGTCCATCGTCCCCAGCTCCGCAGGGACCCTGTGCCAGTTCCTCCATGGGATGGCCAGTGCACCCTCCTTGTTTCATTTGCTCCTCAGCAATGTCTGAAGCCTCCTCTTTAATTGCCAGGCTGAAACGGTACCGCTGGATAGTGCCTGCCCTCGGTGAGGTGGAACTGAAGGTCCACTTCTCCACCAAAAAGCCGGGGAAGTTTGAGCAGACGCTGAGGTTTGAGCTGATGGGGACAAAGCGGCAGTACGAGCTGCCCTGCAGTGGCACCGGCCTGTACCCCAGCATCAGCCAGAACCCACGGTAAGGCTGGCCCCTGGCAGCCTCCCACACTGCTGCCCCCGAGCTCACAGCCAGGGCTGCTCCTTGGGCATTCTGGCCTGGGCACATGGTGCTGCCTGATGTCACCCAGCATCTCTTTCTGTGCTGGGAGCTGGGGAAGGCAGATGGTACCTGAGCCACCAGGATGGGTTATGGCTTTCTGATTGCATTGTCTACTTGGAGCATCTCATAGCTCCTCCTTCCCCACTTTCTCTGCCCAGGCTGGTGTTTCCACAGTGGAGAGAGACCATGGAGGAGGGTGAAATCATCTTCAAGGAGTATGTTGAGAGCACCAAGCAATTCCACTTTGGACCGCTGCTGTGTGGGAAATCAAGAGAGTGGTAGGTGCTCCCTGCTGGCCTTTGTACTTTTCTGGACACGCTTGGAGACATGCTGTGCTGGTGGCACAGTCCAGGGCAGTCCCCAGCAGAGTCCTGGCACACACATGGGTTTGAAGGAACACACAGATCTGTGAACTTGAGCAGATAAGAGGCAAATGAGCCTTGGAGGAGCTGCTCTGCCTGCCTAGTGGCTGCCTTGGTGGCCAGAGCCACATGCTGTTGCCAGTCCAAGGTGACTTCACATCTCAGCTTCACCCCTTAGAAAATAACGTTTATGGTGTTTTTTGAAGTGCCTTGACCGCTGCAGGTAGCCTGTTTGAGCAATTATTCTGTAGATGGTTTTGTAAACCTTTCATTAATCTGTAATTATTAATAAGATTTTATTATTGACCTGCCAATAGGTGTCAGGGGGAACGTACAGCAGGAATTACTTTTCCTGTAATGACATTGCATCATCACTGCTGGATAAAGTCTTCCTGAACACATTGTCATTGAAGCTATTGTGTATTTCTACTTTTACTGTCACTTTTTAAAAATAATATTAAGTTCTTGTCTTCATGGGAGCTCTGGAGTGCTGGGGCTATTTTGACAACCCAAAGGAATGAAATCAAAATAGTTTAAAAAACAGACAATCTTTAGCCAAGTTGATGGATGGTCTGGGATTTCTGTTTGCCTCTTTAACCCTTTCACTCCAAAGTAATTTCCACACCTGAGAGAAGGGCCATTTGTTATCTTCCTGCATTCCTCTTGGGAATTGATGCTTTATATTTCTTTCTCAGACTTTGAGCTAACCCATGAAATTCAAAGAAGTTTCATGGCTTTTTATGAAAGCGATTAGCTAAACTCTTCTTCCAAAAGCCTTTCTTTATACCCTGCAGGGAAGGCACCCCAAGAAAGAAGGGGAAAGAGCCCATGTGCCTGGTGTACTGGTATTTTCTAGGCACCTTTGAATTTATGTGTCGTTCTAATTGGGAACGGCGGGAAAGAACGACACGGACTCTCAAGGGAGTCACAACAGGACATTCCTCTAGTTTATTGCTCTAGGCTTGTCTTATAGACAGATACGTGGAAAGTACAGAAAGGAAACTCTAATTGGTTAGCAAAGTGCTACATCACCATCATTGGTCAGTGGGGCTCACTACACCCCTGACTTTCTCCTGCAAGGAAAACAAGAGGACAGACAAGCAGCACCTGGCAGTTGTTTTCTGTCTCTGAGGATTGTTTTGAAATCCTCCTATGAATTTCTCAGGCTAGCTTCTCAGGCAGGACTGATAGTCCATGGGGCCTGCAGTTTCTGCAGCTCTCTGCAGCCTGCTCCAAAGCTAGCATCCATATTTATGTTGTATCAAAAACTCTTGAAGTGGCCTGAGCATCATCAGGCTTCTGGGGTGGAGGCACCAAGTACAGGGGAAGGCATCAAAGTCAGGCAAGGATGAGCACATGCCCATGCCCCTGGCTGGGATCCACTTCCCTCACATGTTTGTTAGAACAGGGTCTTCCAGCACTGCTTCCTCGGGTGCACACGGTGCTTTCCTCGATGCGTGGCAAAGGCAACAGTCTCCTCTGCAGCCTTTTCCCCTTTTGTGGACAGGTACAAGGCCCAGAACTGTCCTGCCAACTCGGAGAATATAACCATCCTCAACAACTCCCCCATGGACGTAGAGGTCCAGTTCTTCTTTGAGGATGATGAGAAAGCAGAGACATTCCTTCTGGACCCTCCCAGCATGACCCTGAAACCAAAGGAGAAGCAGGTAGGAGAGGGCCAGGTAGAGCAGGCACCGTAGAAGTGCCCAGGAGCTGCTGCTCCTGCTCACACACAGAGCTCTTTCCATTTCTTTCCATGGGGCTGGGTCCAGGAGCTGACCATTTGGGCATACCCCACTTCCCCTGGCTTCCTGGAAGACAAACTCATCTGCTGCATTGACAAGAACCCAGAGCCAGTGGTCTTCAGCGTGTGCTGCCATGGGGTGCACGTGAAGCTGGAGGTCAGCCCCCTGGAGCTGTCTTTTGACAAGCTGCTTCTGCACAGGTCAGTCATCCCACACACACTCCAAGACTTGTGACAAAGACAAAACATTTGACTCTGCTTTCCAGGGCTCGGATGGAGCTGCTCCAGGTTGCATTCAGTGGCGAGGCTGGAGTGACCAGCCAGCAGCTGATGCCAAGTGCCTCCTGTCTCTGCAGGACTGACAGCAGGACCTTGGTCCTGAAAAACAACACCCTACTGCCCATGGCCTGGCAGCTCAGTGGGCTGGATGACCTTGTTGAGGACTTCTCCTTGTCCCAAGATAACGGCACCATTGATCCTGGCTCAGAGATGGAAGTGACAGTGGATTTCGAGGCCCAGCAGATTGGCAACATTGAGAAGACCCTCCGACTAGAGGTGAGAGGGACGGTGCCCTGCCTGGCAGAGCAGGGCACAGGGGGCAGCCACGTGCTCTTAGGGACAGAGTCAGGAAGAGCTGCTCCTGACAGACACGAGGGTGCTGTGACCCCAACTTCAGCCTCTACACAGCGTTTGCCAGAACGTGCAGTGCATCCACATCCCCCCAAATAACCACACACTGCACCCTGAGCCTGTAGCACAACCACCTTGTCCCTGTGAATGGTCGAAGGTTGCTTGGTTGTACAGACTGCAGCGTGATCTCTGCATTCCTCTTGGGCTTTGTCTGAACCTCTTGCATAATGCAACGCTCTCCCCCTGGGATTTTGTTCCCCATGGCTTAGGGGCTGCATTTCAGAGAGGGTGCTAGGTGATTGGAGAGGGTTGTCAATGCCACCTGCTCTGAGACACCTCACATTTCCTGTGGTTGTTCTTACATCCCTGTGCCTCTCAAGGATGCTTTCCCTGCTGTAGCAGTGCTGAGTTGGGCTGATGGGGTTTTTTACTGCAGCAGAATCCCACTGGGGCAGCCCATGAGATGAACAGGTTAGCAAAGTTTGGGTGTCCACCAACACTTTTGAAGCTGGGGAGGCCATAGGGGAAGCAGCCAACAGAGATAAGGACTTAGAGGCTGTCTACCAAAAGAATAATCTGAACAGTGTTTGTTTCTTGCTGCCTCAGGTTTCAGATACAGAAAACATCTGCCTCAGGTTTCAGATACAGAAAACATCCTGGGGATTGTTCAGGCTGAAAACATCATAATCTCTGCAGAGGTGTATGATGTTCTCCTGAGCATGGACCTACCTGAAGGTCAGTGGATGTCTCCCAAACAAAGCAGTGCAGGTGCACTGCATTACCTTGGGAGGTGGGAGACCAAAGCACGTAGGATTAGATGGAACGGGACGGGACGGGACGGGACGAGACGGGACGGGACGGGACGGGACGGGACGGGACGGGACGGGATGGGAT